AGGAAGGAAGGAAGGAAGGAAGGAAGGAAGGAAGGAAGGAAGGAAGGAAGGAAGGATCTATGGCTGGATGGATGGGTAACCATTTCCACCATGAGAGCACAATCAGTAATTACATTTGTAGTAAATTAAAAATATTGGTCCAAATTCCTTAAGCCATTGGAACTTTTAATAAAATGCTATTAGATATCAAAGTTATGCACATTTTGATGTGTACTACTGTTTGCATGGTTTGAATAAATAGATATGCTTGTTTAGATTTTGTTTTAAAATAGTATGTTTTAGTATTGTTTTTACCTGCCACAGGGACTGAGGATGGAAATTACTTGATAGACACATTCTGGTACAGTATGACTTTACTTAATTTGAGTTTGTTTGTTTGTTTGTTTGTTTGTTTGTTTGTTTATTTGTTTGTTTGTTTGTTTGTTTGTACATGGTGCATAGTAAATAAATAAACTAAACTCAAGTAAATTTGACCAAAATAAGGACTGGGAGTTTTTGGAGCTTATGTTTTATATGAACTGATATACCAAATTTATTCATTCATTTATTCTTCAGAACATAATTAGAAACATTTGCCTTTGAGTAAAATGATTGGTATTAGCTAAACATATTACAAGATCTATGAGACCCAAGTTTCACCCAATTTTACTGCAAACAAATATAGTAAAATAAACAACATACAATTTATAACTGACTGCCACCTACCTAATAATTGTTGACTTGAATCATTTAAACTATTAGTAAATTCCTTTCACCTTGTACAAAGGCTTTCACACTATTTAAATGGCCGACAGTCTGATCCACTATTGAGCTTCATTAACAACATTTATAGAACAGCAGCCTCTTTGTTCTCGTCCTCATTGTGTGAGCTGCTCTCCCTGAACTCAGGAATGGCTGATTAATGGTAATGTCCACATAAACTCTTTGTGTCAATATCTCAGTGCCAGATGGTGTACATTTCCATGTGCAGGGTTTCCAGCCACCAAATTAGGTAACCCTCAGCAGCCGCCTCCCTTTGCTGTCATGTGGCAGGTGCCAAAAATAACCGAGTGCCAAAGCTCCTGTCCAGCTGAGGACCCCTGCTCTGATCCAGCAGAGGACCCCTGCTCTGATCCAGCAGAGGACCCCTGCTCTGATCCAGCTGAGGACCCCTGCTCTGATCCAGCAGAGGACCCCTGCCCTGATCCAGCTGAGGACCCAGTTTAATATCAAAATCATTTTCAATGATTAAACTCAGCTAAGAAATGGGTTTTTACTTTACATTAGGATTGTTTTAAAAAATAATGTGACGACATTCATAATCCTTTTAATCAAGGTTTTTTTTTTTTTTATTATTTTTTAACATAAGCCACAAAAACGAACAGACTTACACAAAACAAAACACACACACACCCAAAATCCCTCCCATCCCTCCCCGCCTATACCGGATCTATTGTCTGTACATGAAACCATTTTGTATTCATGTATCAGTAAATACAAAGCACAGGTTTGTGTACAAAGAACCAATATTTGACCATTAGACAAAGTTATCTGCTGAATTTTTTTCTACATACGATATAAATGGCTGCCAAATGTCAAAAAATTTGTTTACAGATCCCCTAACAGTATATCTAATCTTCTCTAAATGAATGTAAGACATAACTTCTCCTAACCAGTGACCGTATACTGGAGGATGTGGATCCTTCCAACAAAGAAGAATAAGTCTTCTAGCCAGTAGAGAGCAGAAAGCTAACACCGTCCTCTGATGTTCACTGAGGGAAGCCTCTGCTGGAGCCACCCCAAAGAGAGAGATGAATGGTGATGGATGAACAGTTCGTCCAAATAGTCCTGAAAAGGTATCAAAGATGCCTTGCCAGTATCCATGTAACTTTGGACAGGACCAGAATGTGTGCAGGAGTGTGGCAGGAGATTGTCCACAGCGATCACACGATGGATCCAAGTCCTTTTTGAATTTGCACAATCTGTCCTTAGACCAGTGTAGACGATGTACTACCTTGAATTGAACTATAACATGTTTCACACATATTGAGGACGAATATATATTTTGAATAATTTTTTGCCAAACTGTGTCTGATATGGATTCCTCCAAGTCCATCTCCCACTTGCCCTTCAAAGAATCTAAATTGGAGTCAGAAAATGAGCTGAGCAGAGAATAAACTCTGCTCGTAGAGCGTTTTGTTACAGACTTACACATCAGAATCTCATCTATAAGAGAAGTTGGGGGCGTAGAGGAAAACATCCAGAGCTTGACATTACAAAATGTCTCAGTTGTAAATACCTGAAGAACTGTGACTTATGGATGTCAAATTTCTGAGCTAACTGTTCAAATGAGGCGAACTTATTGTTTATATAAAGATCATTTAGAGAAGTTATTCCCTTTAAACTCCAGGTATTGAAAACAGAGTCCATTAGTGAAGGAGCAAACATATGGTTATTTGAYACTGGAGCAGACAATAATAATTCTGTACTTTTAAGCGACCTCCTGCACTGATTCCAGATTTTTATTGTGTGAGTTACAACCGGATTAGAAGTATAAGTTGAGATAGGTTGATTAAACAGTAACCGGGAGCAACATTCATAATCATTTTAATTTGGTTCCTTGTTTGAGTGAGATTAAAATATTGTACATAAATATTCAAATACAAATAAATGGTATGAATATATGTGTTAAAGGGACATATTATGCAGCTAAATCTTTCTTTTTCACATTTAAATCATTCAGTTGTGGTCTACAAAGCGAACTGTGATGCTTTGATCTGAGTTCGTTATTGTAGCTCCACAAGCCCCTCTTTCACCAGCTCTGAGGTGTGCCTGACTGCATCTCATTTTAGTGCTGTGTCTTTAAATGCAAATGAGGTGTATAACTTCATAAAATTCAGTTTTAATAGGAAAACGTTAAAAGTAAATAAATAAAAGCATTAATACTTGGGTTTAGCTCTAGTATCAGTACTTGTAACTGCATTTTATTTAACATCTCATTGCAACTAAAGTTTCTTCAGATAAGTTGTTTAACTTACATTTTCCGGTCCGTCATAAATTTCCAAACTTCATCATTAAAAGGAAAAAAAATCTGCTGTAAAAAAAAAAACTCTGCCGGCTTTGTTTTTCTGTTTAATTTGCTGATGGAGCAATGAATTCTGCGATACCATCGGCCACGTAGGATCGTCAGATGCAGCCCACGCTTTAGTGGTTTTGTCGGCTTCATGCGTAGACGCCAATGAATTGGGACAGCCAACGGTGCAGGGAAGTGACATAAGCAGCCGACAAATGTGGCCAACATTGGCTGCAAGTCATGAATTGAGACACAGCCTGAGTGATCACCATGTTCGTCCATTTCTTTTAGTTTAATAGCAGAGATTTGATTAAGTAGTGATGGACGTATCACCAATCTGGAAGTCATGGAGCAAACCAAACCAAACTTGTTAGAAGCCGGAGTCACCAAACAGCGATTAGCCATCTTTTCTACACACCCTAAAAAGGGGTGAAAGAGGGGCTTGTGGAGTTACAATAAGAAGGAATTCTGACCAAAGCGTTGCAGTTTTACTTTATTTAGACCCCAACGGAATTATTTAAATGTGAAAAAGAAGGATTTAAAAGCAGGATATACATGTTTTCCTTTATTTATTACAGGGACAGTGCATGTTAATAACATTTCTGTAAATTATGCCAGAATTAGCCAGAAGGCTATTTTTCACCTGCAGTCCCTAGACAGATGGTAAAAGTCACCCTAAAATACTGTATTAAATGTAAAATTTCATAATTAAAAAATAACAATTACAATACACTTCAAAATACTCCAAACACTGTAAGCTAAAATGCATATAAAAACACATAAACCAAATAGTAGAAAACATCAAACAACACAATAAAGTCACACATGAGACAAGATGGCAGCAGAGCTAGTTGTGATCTAATGTTGGCAGCTCTGATTATCAATAAGCCATTTCTCTAATGTGTTATAGTTTGAATTTCTAATGATCATAGGAATCCCATATGTGTACCATTCAAGTGTGCAGTTTTTACTAATGAAAATATAAAAAGGCTGGCAGAAATGTTTCCACTGTTTTGGTGTTTCTGGCAGGAAGTGAGTTTCAAAATGTCCACTTTGTAACATATATGAAAAACCATTAACGATCTCCCTACTTGTTTAGATGAAGTGCGAATGTAAAAATTACAATATTTTTAATGTATTTATTTTTATTCAAATGCTACAATTTCTTAATAGATTTCACATGTTCTAGTAAAATATGGAGATCTGAAAATCAGTACTATCTGTTTTTAGTGATGCTTTACACAGCAGGTTTTTTGGAATTGGAGTTTCAGAAAAAACTTGGATTTGGATTTCTAGGGCACAAAGGCTTTGTGGGCACGAACAAATCAGATTGATATATCATTGGTTTTGAAAAGCTCAGCATCTCCTATCTACATAAGTTAATCAGAAACTGAGTTTTTCAGATTTAGAATGATCTCATTCAAACTGTTCATGTTCGGACAGGAGATGTGTTCGCAACAGAAAATCTTTTTGTTTTTAATCTGAGTAGTGTGGATGCCGTCTTAGACTTGAATGGAAAAGTTTTCTTTTCTGCCAACAAATGCTTCATAAAAGTTGTGAAAACATGTTTGGAATGAAGTCTGACTTTGGTTTGCCGCATACAGCCTCCAACTCAGACATGACATGCCAACATAGATGCTGTCTGCAAGCAAGACGAGACAGAACCGAACAGAAGAAGGTTAATGTGGTTCTTCAGTGGAGCTGGCAGAGCCATTTTTACTCCACCTACACATTCAGCTCCATCTTTCATCATATACAGTATATCCTCTTGGACATCTTCCCTTTGAAGATCTGGCAAGTTGCCTCAATCAAACCACCGTCCTCCATGTCTTTGTGTTTGACCCAAAAACAAGTTCAATGGCAACCATTTAAAAAAAATGATGATGATTCATGGGTGGTTTTGGGTGGCAAAGGGAAAACGGTAAGTGTGAAACCCACTTCTTTAAACTAAATTGGTAATAGGACATGTTGGCATGAAGGAAAGTCACTAGTTGTGAGCATAAAATCTGAATAATCTTAGCAACAGATGCCAGTTTCACCAGCCATCTGGACTGAGACTCACTGTGTCTGGGCTGGATGTGAATTGGCAAACTACCAGGCCACTTTATGATCCATGCACTTACCACCAGTTTACACAGAAGCTCATATTTTATCTTTTCTGTGTGGTATTAGTTTATTCATGTGAGTTGACGCCAAATTTGTGAAGGGAAAAAAATGGCCTCTCCACTCAGAGTCTAATCAGATTATCCAAAACTCAGCTTTTTATTCTCTGCAATCAGCTTCACTATCAAAAACAGATTGAATTTAGTCCTGAATATTAAACAGAATTAGATAACTGGTGTTTAATTGAAAATATGAAACAATCTCTTCATAAAAGTAATGTAACATGCATTATTCTTAGACCTAACATTAATTACTTTATTTATTAACTTAGACATTAATATGAATAATTACCTACTTTTAGATCAGCTTAAAACATTACATTTACTACTAACTGTTCAGCTCATGTAAATAAAATGTGTCAATGTGAATAGGATGAAATCAACCTTTCAAAACTGTGAAACGTGTGTTCCACAAAGTTCTGTTTTAGTTTTACTCTTTACTTTTTTTTGGCTTGTAAACTATTAATTTATCTGAAAATTGGTTTTCATTAAACTGTGTCAAAACCAGTGGAGTATCCAGAAAATAGTTATCAGATGGGTCTGATTGAAAGTGGGTGGGGCCACCACCAGCAAATTAAACCCAGCTTGTAAAACACATGGAAACTACAAACTGTTTGGCTTCTGACCCACAAAACATCAACAGAAACTTGGGACTGTTGCAATATAAGTATAACAAGGTTTATTTTAAACCAAAATTAGTATCTTTTCTTTTTAAATATTGCAAAACATATTCAACTAAAATTATACTATACTTAACTATTGAGTTATTTGGATAAATAGTTATCAGATAAACTTTATAAATGAACTAATTAACTTTTTTTAGTCAAAAAGGTTGAATTTATTTTTGTTAAACCAAAGGCTCAGCAGTAATTCAATAACAATATGTATCATAATAACCAACTGATCAATACCAATAGAAAATATGTCCAATAGAATATTGATTTCACTGAACTCCGATCCAGAACCGTACACCATTCTGGAGGATGTTGGCAGAGGAAACTTTAGTTGCTCGACCTCTCAGTCTTTACAAACAAACAAATCCAATTGGACCAACAGAATGGACTTCAGACAATAAACATAAATAACAAATTCTATATAATAAATCTGTGACGTACAGTCAGTACAGACAAAATGAGGTTCGAAAATCAAAAGTAGTTTTTTAATTACTTAATGCGATCAACCATTTCAAACAAAACTGTCTACATTTCTGTCATTTTTCCAATTGTTAAGCTTCCTATTTGTGTATAACTACAGTGCAATAAACTACTGAAAAAGTGCAGTTTTTTCATAAAATGTAGGAATATCTATAAAAAAGGCCTCAAATCATTTGTTATATCCAAGTGTGTATCTACATAAGTACTTAATACGTGAGTATGTTGTAATATCTGTAACCAACCATGGGTGTTTCAAATGTTGAATAGATACTAAAGAAAAACAAAAAATACAAAATAAAATGAAATAAAAAAAGAAATAAAGGACTTTTGAAAAAGTTACCTTCTTTGCTCTTCAGTGAGCTGAGATTGGGTGGCGTGTCAATGTTGGCTTGCACACAATAGACCTCCCGAGTCTGGATCCCACCGCCACACAGCCCTGTTTGGTTTCCACGCCGGCGGTCTTGCTGACTCAGCAGCACATCCACCCTGCACTCTGTCCACTCGGTGGTCTTCCAGTTGTAGCTGACGACAAACAGAAACACATGACGGGTCAAGCTGAGACACAGCAGCTGCTTTAATAACTAAATAGAATGCAGCTTGTAAACAGGACCATAATGGTTATTTAATGATGCCCCAGAAGTGTTCAGTGTTTGAGTGAAGGGTGTTGCAGGTGGAGGATCCGTTCATACTGAGTGAAGCAAACTTGGCACGTTCAGTTTAGCTATTAAGGGATCATTTATGTCGCTAAAACAAACTTCTAACTGTTTTAATCATTTTAATAAACAGTGATGGATATGGGTGGTAGTGACTCAGGTTTTAGAGTGTTCCGCATCAGAACCCGTTTTAGTTCAGTCAAAGACACATGGACTTTTGTTCAAACTCTAAGTGATGTTTTACTTCTTGATCTTGTACACAAATTAGATGTTCATGGATTAGAATAAAAAATGCATTATGTTTGGTGCAAATGTGACTTATTTGTGTCGATACACAGACACACAAGATGCTACAAGCATGGCAGATCTGCTATGTAGTACAGTTTGGGGATTAAATATCAATACTGTACATCCGTATATTTCTTCTTTGTTCCAATAATATCACTTTATATATTAAACAAAAGGCCTGAAAGCAGGTTTGGTTTTTTTAAAGAGTGTGTTTGAACAATCAAAATCCCTCTGTTCAGTTCTGTTAGTGAATTATAACACCTTCAGCACCACTTATTTGTAGCTTTATGTACTAAATATTGTTGAGCATGTAAATTACAATTCTTTTTAATTATCATTGTTGTATGTAGTATTTTCATTCCACCCTGGGGGAAAAATTAAATAAATCATTAACATCCTTAAATTAATATGCAATTCTTGCCCATGATGAGTGGATATAAACCTTTAGACCCCAACTGTAGCTGAAATAATTGCTCCTACAGCTAAAGTAGACATGATTTTAAATCCATCCTTTTCACATTTAAATCATTCAGTTGAGCTTTTGTAAAGTGAAACAACAGTACTTTGATCTGGAATCCTTCTTATTCTAACTTTACCAGCCTCTCCTTCAGCCCTCTTATGCTGTGTGCCTCAAAGCAGCTGGTTTTGTTACTGTTCCTTTAAGATGCTTCAAGCCCCACCCACCACCGGCTTCTAGACCGGTCCACTCCAGTTTGAGAGAGGGGTTAGCATTTTCTAGCGGTGCAGAAACATTTTATTTACAGTTTAATTAACAGATGTCAGCAACAGAAGACTTATCCATTCAGCCTTACATGTTGGAACCAGAGTCTGACCCAAAACCAGAGTCTGACCCAGAACCAGAGTCTGATCTAGAATCAGAGTCTGACCCAGAACCAGAGGAGAATTAAGATGAGAAAATTATAGTTGGTAAATCCAGACCTTATTTGGCAATTCCACCACAGATAATTTGACATAAAAGTTCAGAAAACATCAAATACAATAGAGAAAAATGAACAGGCTGAAAAATATGACTCAAACAGAATATAAAGATATATTTGCAGCACCAGGAGAGACTAAAATCAACTTTTCTGCCTCCTAAAGACTCCAAGTCCATAACAAAATGTATTTAACAGCTAAAAAAGTGGATTTTGCAGATATGTCTCATTTAATTGTCAATAGTTTTTTTCTCAGACTGGCCAATGAGGACATACTGTCTCTAGTAATGGGGTTAAAGTTTCTGAAACCAGATTTGATCCAAATCACTGCTCCAGCACAAGAGGGGAATCTTTTTTCCCCATTCTGTAAAGGATTGTAATCTACTTTTGCGTTGAGATTAAACTATCTTTGGAAACTAAATTGAGTATACAAGCAGATGTGGCCTAGCCTGGTAAAAACCAGAACCTTGTCCTTCATTTTGCTTCATACGAGGGTCTGGACTCATTTCTATAGAGAAGCGATTCTTGCTGGAGGTGTGGCCTCTGCTGAGGTGTGTATGTGTTGTCGCTGTGAAGGAGGCTAAGCTAAGAAGCTAACCAGAAACTGCATGCGCAGTAAACAACCCTACTGAGAGGAGAAAAGTACTGAGCCGAACGAGACGACTGTGAATGAGAGCTGCTGCTTTGTCAGACAAATTTATTTTAATTTGTAAGCCTTATCAACACAGACAGACTGGCTTCATTCACTTCCTCCATTGCCGTATGCTAAAATAACTAGCAGACACTGCACAGAAAATTGACGCCATTCAAAACTCCTCCTTCTGTTTGCTGATTGGCCCAGGTAAAATAAACTACAAGCAGACACTGCGCAGAAAATCGACGTTCTGTTCTTTGATTGGTTTGGCTAAAAATCTGCCACAAAAACATGTACAATAGGTAGCCTTCAGGCCCAGGCCGCCCTTGAAAAAGAGATCCGAGATCTCAATGGGACAAGCCTGGTTAAATAACGTGAACGGTGACGCCGGTTGAGGCAGATGGCCGCCTGTCCTGAGCCTGGTTCTGCTGGAGGTTTCTTCCTGATTAGCAGGGAGTTTTTCCTCTCCACCGTTTGCTCAGTACGGGCCACCATACCCCGCTTTTGCAAGTCATCAYCCCCAAATGGTGATTAGTTGCAACGAAAACGGGCACCTTGAAAGTCTTTGAACTTGAAGTAATCCAAAGGCAAAAATGGTATACAGTAATCCCAAGGGTAATCCAAACTGAGAACTTGCCATAGCTAGAGTTCTTTCAGTTCAGTATTTTTTTCAAGACGAAAGTAATTAAAAACAGAAAAAAATTTGTATGATCCCCATAATGTTTGTGAATAACTCCCATTGCGGCACAGCTTTAAATCCAAGGAACAACAGAGTCTGTAATCCACTGGATGCAAAGAATTGTAATCCACCAAGGAAGAAGTATAATCCACACGGGTAATTCCTCCACACGGGTAATTCCATACGATTGTTGTGGATGATCTGGAGTCAACCAGTTTCAGGAACACCATGAAGAGGAGTTGATTTCAGGAACCCCCCTTTTGCGAGTCGCTCTCTGGAAGGTTGCCGTTGAAAGGGGACCTTTGGATCGAAGGTAGAGATCCCTTTGCAGGAGCCAGGAAGAGACCACTGGAACACTGTGAAGATGGGTACCACCAGGAGGAGAAGGTTGAGAGCGTTGAAGCCTGGTCACCTTAGCCGAATAGGTGGGCCATCGTGGAGGTTGGGTGTTGAGTCGTCTCCAGCTAGTGCTATTCCGGTTGCTATGTGTTATGCATTTATGTGGTTATAGGCTAACCTTAAGTTGGGATTTTACATTAGACTAAACCTATGTGTGCCTCTGTGGTTAGCTATCATGTTTCAGATAAGCTACAGGTAATAGTTAAAGGGTTGTTGCTTTAACTAAGGGGTAGATATAAGTGTCTATATCCATGAGAGACTAAAGAGGGCTTCTGTAAGGAAGGCCTCAATATCCACATAAATTACTTATTCCTCCAATCATAACTCAGTTAACTTAGACAGTGTATACTTCTGTAGCTGTCATTAAAACGAACGATTTTAGATTTTCAAATTTTGTTTCCCCTATCATTTTGGGGTCAATGTCGAGACTCATTTTGAAGATTAGATAGCCCACCTGATTGGTGTTGTTTCGAGCAGGGTTGAGGTGAAAACAAAGGTGTGGTCAATGTAGGTTACGGTACCTAAGGTAGCATTAATCTACATTGCCCTATAAATAAGTGAGATATATCAATCACTGCATGTTGGCATAGTCAAATTTCATATTAGACTTCCATTCATTAACAGCAATACAAAACCTCGATTTCTTGGCTGTGGGTGCTCAGAACCAGTACAATGCTATTCACCATCTCACAGTGATGTTTTTTTCTGTACCGAACAGATTACTAACAATGAAAGGTTTCGAACATACACACATCAACCAAGTTGTGGCTAAGCAATAATATGTTAAAATGCTTTAACTCACTCTGCTGGACAAGCCAAATAGTGTTTATTTAGCTGGTGGTTATGACCTATTTGAAAATCTTTTAAGACTTAACTCTAGACTTAGTGTTTCTAAGTTTTACAAGAGTTTCCTCTTTTAGATCTGTTTTAAAGACCTATTAACCTTTTAAGGGTATTTTTGATTGAAGGGTGTTTTATTTAGTGATGAGATTTTGATATTTTGTTAGATTATCGAACATCTTGCAAGGTTTGATTTGGTTGCGATGGACCCATTTAACGATTGGTTCTTTTTGTCCTTTGCTGCTTTTGATCTGGTAGACAACTGAAGATAGTTTGTCTGTTATCAGGTAGGGTCCAGTCCACCTGGGCATTAGTTTGCGGGCAAAAGTTCCAGTCCTGGACTCTCTTTGTCCCTGTGTTGGAGCGAACACACAGTACCAGACTTTTTCTCCCACCTGGAGCTCTTCGTGAGAGGCTTTTTGGTCATAGTATGTTTTGTGTCCCTCCACGGACTTTTCAAGGTATTTTTGAGCAAAAGCAAAGGTGTTTTTTTAGATGTTTCTCCAAATCTTTCATGTACTGTTGTGTGGTGTAGGCTGTCACCATAGTGGTGTCACCAGGTTGGTACAAAAGATGTATGGGGAGCGTCATCTGTTGCCCAGTCATCATCTCGGAGGGAAAGATGTCTATGGATTTGTGTGGAGTGGCCCTGATGGCCATGAGGACCAAGGGGAGTTTCACATCCCAGTCCTTGTGGTTTGGACCTACATACTTCTTTAAAATACTTACCACAGTTCTGTTTGCTCTCTCTCCTTGGCCTGATGCCTGTGGGTGGTAGCCAATATGGAAGTTGGCTTTAATGCCTAGCGTCTTCCACAGTTCTTGCATCACTTCAGCTGTGAAATGTGTCCCTCGATCTGAATTCACCCTAATGGGCAGTCCAAACCTTGCGAACACATGGTTCATTAAAAATGTAGCGGTGGTTTGTGCTGTGTCATTTGGAGCTGGTAGACATTTGACCCATTTTGTGAACGCGCAAGTTACGGTGAAAAAATATTTATTTCCTCTAGCGGATTTAGTGATAGGTCCAACCCAGTCGATCTGCAGGTCAGACCACAGGAATGTAATCCCTCTGTTCTGCAATGGTGCCCTGT